CGATGACCAGGACGACGCGGATTGGGTGGATGAAGATGAGGAGGAAGAGGCGGATGATGATAGCGATGGCTGGAGTGAGCGCGATTATGAGGATAACAGCGAGGAGAGTGACTGGGATTCCGAGGATGAGAGCGATTATGAAGACGATTGGGAGGCGGAGTATGGGTTTGCTGTACCGAAGGCTGAGCCAACTAAGGATCTGGAGGTTCCGAATACTGCGGTCGTTGTTCCGGGGAAAAGTCTTTTGGACTTTTGAGGTTGTGTGCGACGTGGGGATGCTTAATTGTTAGATGGAAGAGTTTAGGACTAGATTTCTTGTTGTGTATTATACCGTGTTACTTTACTGGTTTGTTAGATCTACTCATGGATTGGGTTCACCTATCTACTACGGATAGACGATCTAATGGTGAAACTTATATCTGGAGCATCGCATTCGAACGTGAAATCAGCTGGCGGACTTGATTGCAGGTATATGAGCAAGCTACTGAATTCAGCTTCCAGTATGAGCCAAAAGAAATATCCACATCATTAATGTATTGCACTGTATTGCATTTACTATCGGATAGCATCGTAAGCTACATGTACACATATAGCCACGAGAAGATTTCCATCCTCGTCTTCTTCGTCTGGAGGCTCGTCGTCCTTTCCCCAGATGTCCAAGTTTGATTGAGCTAACAAGAGAGGAAAACTCTTCAGCAATGAGACAGCGTCTTCATGGCTGTTGAACGACTTGACAGTGCTGTCGCTTCTCGAAAGCGATGAAATCCCACATGCTTCGGTATGTATCCAATCTGTCAAGCCCCGTTACATAGAAGACGCCATCCCTACTGTACGTGTTGTCTTTGACAAGCCAATACAAGAGCCACGCGTGTCAGTCCATATCGGTAGTGTATTGACGGTTGGTGCGGGTGGAGAATGCCATCGTGCCGCCCTTCTCGCCGTTGATGATTTGAGTGTACACACGCTTGAACTCTCCAACCTTTTTGTCGAATTTGAAGAAAGGCGAGTCCAAGAAGTGTTTACTGAATCTTTCCCAATGGGGCTTCACTGGGTCGCTTGCGCGCCAGTCGTCGAACGCTTGCTCCGGTCTTGCCCGAAGCCCAGGTGTTCCATCATCAGTGCCTTGCTCTTGTACGGTTTGCGCTTGCGTTTCTTGGTGTCCGTGGAGGCCATATTTACGCGCTTGCGTATGATATCGTGGGTATTGGAAACAATTGGAGCGGCAGTTGCGATGATGTCAATCAGAAGCGAGAAGGACGTGTGTGGCTGCCTACGGTAAAGGTGCAAACTGAGCGTTTGCACAATTGAGCGTGATAAATAGGTGGTCAATGAGACATACCATAGAGATATCCCGTGTCTGCTATCGACATGTACGTCACGTCACGTCATATTCCGAGATGCAGCTGTCCTCGAACGAGGCGGCTAGAGCGAACTAACATCAACGTAGGCTTCTAGGTGACTTGCTTCTGTCACATTCGCATCACTTCTTGTGCTCCACAGCAGTGTATAGTACGATGTCAACAAGATTTGAAAGCGATGTAGACTTTTGGGTGATTTGTTGGCACGACAGCCTTATTGCTCCTTGCAGCCTACGATAGTACAAAAGAAGAGAACAGGCAAGAATTAACAGCAATGTAGACTTCCGGGTGGTTTGATTCCACAATTATCTTGTTACTTCTTGTGGCCTACATCGGTACATGGCACCATGTCTAACGAAGACTAACGGCAAGGTAGACCTCTGGATGATTCGCTGCAACGCAGAGAATCTGATCTTAAGGGTATATAGCAGTCTTACGTTACTAACCTAAAGTACGGGAGTAGTGCGAGCTCTGTCTCTATATGGCGACGAACGTAAGTGCTGGCGTAGCAGGCTCATTCGAGTATGGGGAATGAAGTGTTGGGGCTGATATAGTTCCGGCTGTAGCTCTTGCCGAAGGAGCTATCCTTACTGTCCTGCAGTATCTTCCACGCCTTGATTAGCTCATCAGCTTTCTCATCTTGGCCGAAGCCCGACTCCAGCGCCTTGAGAATGAGCTGGGGATCATACCGAATCCACCAAACTCCGTGGTGATCACAACGAACTTGGCGCTTATCCCGTTGGGCAGGTAGTTCAGATATAGAACAGATCGAACCCCGGGGTAGTAGCTAGCCACAGAACGATCGCTCTCGCATCGCAGAACCATCCGTCAGCACCGACGGAAAGTAGAGTCGGCCTGATGCCGGCTTGGTTCGCGGCTTCAATGTCGTTCACAATTGCTTGCACCCCAATTGGAGAAAAAGGTGGACACCCCGGAGCCTACATTGACGTTAGGTCAACTAACTTGCGTGCTTTTATCCTAATGTAGGCTGCAGACCTGTTCAATTTCTTCTTTATATGAGGTGCTTGCGCGAAAACGAAAGCACCATACGTCGAAAGCTTACTCATGGTCGAGCCCGAGGTGTTTGATGAACTTGGCCTTGTATCAATATGACCGACCTTTGTGCTTTTGAGGAAGCATCTTGATACAAGCATGAAGGGTGGCGCGATCGCCAGAGCGTCTAGGGTACTGAGAAGAATCGAGGCGGCAGTTACACTGTCGGAAAGATGTCGAAGGGTATTCGCTGCTCGATGTGCGATATTTTGCTGTGGCCGAGTGGTCAAAGGCGCTGCTGCGTTTAGGTCGTTCTGAACATCCTCCGCAGTCTTCGAGGAACAACGACCCGGTGTGCGGTAGCCCGTACCGATCAGATCCCAAAACTCATCTACAGAGACAAGACATCGATTGGCACACAGATCCTGCACCAATGCATCTGAAACCGATTCCGTGCGACAGTGACGGTGACTTGTCACCGTCAATCACACCTCTCAGGACCAGTACTTACGACCTTGCCCCTGGATGCCTCGCCTGTGTAAAGGGCCAGCGCATCACAACGCCCCGCCTCTTACATGTCGTAATCCACGTGTACCCATGCTCGCGATATCAGGGGATTAGGCGAATTCGCAGCGTAAGGGGAAAAACAACTCGAAAGTCCGTTGTCGTGAATGACGATGAGGCTTGTCTGGACGCTGCACCACAAAGCAGGTTATTGGGCAGGCGCGACCAGCGGATAGGAAGGCGCGACTCAACCCCGCTGCCGCCTTCTCGCTAACCCAACGCCCTATCGATTGCGCCAGACAGACCGTGAGAAAGCCTCCCGCAGCATGTATGCACGCCACACGGCTCGACGTTTCTAATTTAGGTATCTGGGTTCCTTACCTAGGCAGTAACGGCGTAGCGCGCGGCGATGGGTGTGTTGTTGGAAAATGGCGACAGTTGGTAACTCACCCGCTCACCGGTCGAAGACTTTACGCCTTGCATACAGCATGTATGTTAAACAAGGACAACGCGTTCTAGAATGTGGAAGCCGAGGTATTGAAAATATCTACATCGCGCTAGTCTGTAATCCATGAGAATATGTGACTTGGCTGTTCATGTGAAATCGGCCGGGTAGAGACCACTTTTCGAATCCATTCAGTCGCTCTATCACGATACTCGTATCCAGGTAATTACTTCCCCAAGCTGCAAGATTCCCCAATCTCCGCATCCCGCTCGACCCCCTCTCTCATTCTCCCATCTCCCCCATCAAAGAGATGAGATGAGAACCGGGCCGAAAGCGAAGAACGCACGTTCGCAAAAAAAGAAGATGGAGTAGAAAAATGGGAAATGTACCAAGACCTACTAGAGCAAAGACGCCACTCAACAAGGCAGTTACGCGAGAAAAGAAGGAGGGAGGAAAACAGGGACACGGGTCGGGGCACGGCAGACGGTAGGTAGGAGCCGATTTTGCCGGTCCAGGAACCTGGTTGCGCTCTTCTGTCGACAAATTGCGAGATTCGTATCTCGATGCCCTCATTCAACATGAACAGCTGGAGAGCGAAACCTGTAAAACTCATTCTCCACATTTCTTCCGAACCACGCGTCTTTCTCGTAACGTGAGACGTAACGCCCTCCTATCCCCGTTCACATCCTCCAGTCAACCCCATCAAATCACATTAAGCGAAAACAAGTAAACATGCGTTCACACAAACTGGCCTATGTTCACCGCAATGTAGAGCAGGTATTCAACAACCACCCAAGGCTAACCGGCTACCTAAGTTCCCGCGGCTTCACAACCCGCGTATCCAGTAGCTTCACGTACATCAGCCCAGGCTGCTACTACCGAGACATCCTTCCAGACCTATGCATACACGTACATACATACAATCCTTCATGTAAGTAAGACTTGATTTTCTTCTTCTCTGCCTGCTGCAGAGTCTGTTTTGCCCCGTTTGATTCCGTCCAATCACCAGCATGTGACGTCGGGCGTGGCTTACTTGCCTAGTTTCTTGATGTCAGCGCACATTGTTCAGCTGAGTGGCGCTTTGCTGACGACGGACGGCAACTGAGGACTTGGCTTCTTACTGTGCCTCGTCAATTCAAGCCACGGGCGTTCAGGGGGTGAGAACTCTAATCCTTCGTCGCCTTGGGCCATTATAGCCGTAGTCTGTTGTAAGTAGAGTGGTGAAGCGAGTCACTCAGACCTGCGCAGACCATGCCAGTTTTGAGAAGGAATGGATTCGAGAAGAAGTTCGTGATTCTACTATATGCTATGCAATGAGCCCGTAATCCCTGGTACTCATGCTACGTGTCGATCGTTAGGTGTGCCCATTTTGTGTCTATAACGCCCCGATTATGATGATGGTTTACTACAACGCCGCTCGCATTCCTGGTATGCCAAGCAACCTGTTGCGGCGGAGAGAGTGAATTAAGGAAAAACAACAGTAGGTGGGCTTGTCCATGCTCCAAAACCGTACATGCAAAGTACCCAGTGCCAGAATGCTGCCCAGAAGAAGCCCCAGATGTTGCCAGATGATACAAAATTAAACGCTGTAAAAACATCAATGCAGTTGGTGCCCGCACGTGGTTGTGGTAGGACGTGAACGCGGGAGAAGGCGGTCAAGGTGGAAGCCGTAGCGAAATTATCATTATCGTAATGAAAAATTAGACTTGTTCGGTAAAGGCTGATTTCCGCGAATCACCGGATGTCCTCCTCTTCTTCTGGAGTTTCTTCGATGTTCTCCGCTCGGCAAGCTCAACCTCCTCAGGGGTGGGTGGCTGGAAGGTGCCTGGCTTCAGGACCTGGAAGCCAGAGTTGACGGAGCGCAGGACGTGGTCATCGCGATCCTGGTTCTGCTCGGTGTTGACTTCGTACGGTACCTGATCGTAGCTGTACTGGTGGTGAGGGCCACGGGGTTCGTAGGTGTCGGGGTAGTAGGGAGCATTGGGCGCATATGATTCGGTCAGGGGAACCGCTTGCCTTGCCTGGTTCGCTGCGTTGCCATCGTGACTCGGTCCGGCAGAAACATCTTCAGCTTGGTCGGCGACAGTAGCTAGCGGAGGAGAAGGTGACTTCTGAGGCATGAAATAGTTAACACCATTGACCGAGGACACTTGGTTGTCCGCCACGCTGGCCCACTCTCCGCTATTACCTGGCTTGCGCACTCGAGGAGTGAGCTGTCCAGTCTCGGCGACGTGGGAGAGGCGATGGCTGCGGAGGAGTTCGAGGTCGGTCTTGGGGTCAATGGGCTGGTTGGGCCTGAAGTATGCGGACTCGTAGGTGCGGACGTCTTGGCCCGCTGCCATGTAGTCGGACTCGTCACTGGTGCGGCGGCTTGAGTTGCTTGCAGACTGTCCATGTTGGCCGAGGGGAGCTAAGGCTGTTAGCATAGTTCAATCTATTGCGCATGCTGATACTCACGAGAAGTAGCGCCAGAGTTGCGGGTAGTGTAGGGGTTTTCCAGGGCGTTGAGGGCGCTGTTGCGGGAGACGTGGTGATTGCAGTTGCTGCAGCGGGGGCCCTCATGGTTGTGGGGACGAGCAGGAGAAGATGATCGGGAGTCCTGGGTTGAGACGGGCTCGGCGGAGACGGCGCGGTCGAAAGAACTGGGACCGCGCGAGCTGTTGCGGCTGGAACCTTGGGCGACTGGCCGGGGCAGGGAGAGTTGCGACTGCGAAGCGTACGGAGGGGCTTCGCTGACGATGGAAGCACGGCTACTGCCAACGGGAGTGTTGGTACGCGAGATCCAGACACCGTCGACCTCAATACCGCTCTGGATTGCGCGGATGCCGAATGGAATCTCATCCTTGGTCTCCTCGGTCACCTGGGTTACTGGCTGCGCCTCGAGCATTTCCGGAGTGGCTGCGCGTTTGCCTTTGTCCACTTTGCTGTACTTACGGACCTTGTTCTTGTCGTACCATAGCTTGAGCAGGCCCAAGAAGATGGTGAGTACAATTCCGCAGGCCAGTACCTGTACGGCGTTAGCAGGTGGAGTCAGCGGTTGGTTGAAGTCCTTACGAAAGTCATCTTCTGCCATAAGGCCCAGCTTTGGAAGAACTCATTGCCGTCGGAGGATCCGAAGCCCATGTTTGCGGTGGAGTAGGAGTGATGTCGAGATCAAGGTAAGAATAGCAGGTGGGGCGGAGATGAGATGCAGGCAGGCACACTGTGAGTGACAGCTGTCGGAGAGGAAGGTGCAGACGGGTAGGGCAGTAGCGAATGGGGGGTTCCTGATTAGATTGGTATCGATAGATGGATCCGAACAAAGAGGTGAGCGAGCGAGCGACAGGAGTCTCAGGCGCGAAATTGGGGTACGACGCGGGGGTTTTAAAACCGGACCCTTGGACTGATGGCGTGGTAAAAACGAGTGTAAAACGTCGAGCAAGACGAGAGTGGATGGCACTAGTGAATCAGACCTGTCATTCACGCAGATGGGTACGGGGAGCGAGTCGGGGGCGGAAGGCACAGGGAGCGAGAGATAGGTTGGGAGAGGATTTATTATATTGCATGCAGCGGCTGGACTGGAGATCAGGTCAACTCTGGGACCCGCTGAGAAACAACGGCACACGGTGGTGAAAAGTTGGCTGGGTTGTCTAGGGCAGGCGCTACCCTGTTCGAGCGCTAAGTTAGGCAGGGGCGCTTGCAGGGGTCTCGCGACACGGTGCGGGATGTAGACTGAAATAGCAAAGACTAGCAAGCGACGATGTGGCACGTTGACTGTTTGAGTGATCGGCCACGGTATGTGGAGCTATACGAAGCAGAGTCACAGCCCTAATCTCTCGGGCGCCAGGAGCATCGCGAGCCCATCGCGAGCCGCGACGCCGCACGTGTTTGAGGCCCCGGGTGTGTGTGACATGAGAATGGGGTCTATATCGACGTAAGAATATCGTCGACGTTGATGGCGGAAGTCAGCCGCTGTGAACCACGATGAATCCGAGCGATGCTGGTAAGCTAAAAGGGAAGGAGCCAAGGGTACGCGCGCTTGTGGACGGCTAGCGAGGATGACGAATTACCTTCTATGGATAGGCTCCGAGTGTTTCGGAAACACCAGCTCAATATCATCTCGTGTTATTCCTCAGGTTGAGTGATCTTCCGTTCTGAGTCGGATGCGACCGTCTTGCCATTCCCATACGTCTGAAACACGAGGCTGTCGTCACAACTGCACCGCACGATCGCTTTCACACAGCAGAAGCGTCTTCAGCCACTACCCGCATTGCTAAGTGGGCGTCCAATTTTGGGGCGGGCGGATGGCGGCTTTGGCATGCCGCGGTCGTTGGGTGAGACGGTCTTCCCACTTTCTTGCCCAAGGCCTTCCGCTATTCGTCGCTGCTTGGCACTCTTCAAGGTTCATCTCACGCATCGATCCACCAGATGGGTTTTCGCTTCTCCACCATGATGGTATCTCACAGACCTGGATGGGAGCGGGGCACGTCCTTGCTTTCTTTGAGGGCACGGCGCACCGCATCTACTCTGGTGTAACGGTCACTCCCAGCACACCGCTCCCGGCCGGTTCCAAATTCTTTTCTCCAGCGCACGCTTTGGGGTCATCTCGTCGCTCGCCACCATGCCGGGACTGTATCGATTGTCTAGGCGAGCGCGGAATCTACTACCACTCGCCAGTGCGCACTGATCACACACGGTCGTTAGTCATACTAACTGTTCTTTTCAGTATCTTCAAAAAGCATCATCTCTACACAATTACCCAACGAAAGCCCTTGCCATGGTGAACGTGTTGGCTGTACTCAAAGTTGGCCCCTCGGTCGGTTCCATTTTTTTCTCCCGGCGTTCAGCCACAAGTCGTCGGAAGCCACTTCTCGTTCTAGAAAATTGGATCATGACGAGACGATGATGGTGATTCCGTCTTGGTGCCTCAGCCAAGGCAAACGATGCACAAGGCGATTTAGTGCTGCAAAGTAAGCCGCGAAATTATTGACTCAACCCTAGTCCTCGTATCCACGAATCCTTCGTACCCATGCCATCTCATGATCCGAAAACTTCAAATAATGCGCCGGCGCTTTCCAGTTTCTGGGCATTATAATCGCGCTCGTATAACATTGAGTGCTCCTCACCACAACCGCACAAGTGAACGAGCTTTGTGCTGCAACTAGGCCGCAGTGGTGATCAAGGTGAGGGGAAGCTGCAAGGCATGATTGGCATCTGCTCCATGCACTTCGACAAGCGTCGGTGGGGATGTTTGCCGCATGCGTGTTTGCTTTGCAGGAGTCCAGCCTCGACGCAGCCTTGCGTTGAGCTTTCCACTGACCAACAGGTAGCTACTAATGCTCTCTGTATCTAGCGCGATATTGCTGAACAAAAGCCATCAATGCGACTACATTCCTACACTTCATCAAGGCTGAGTTGACCTGACTACCGTACGCTGATCTTCCGACCCAGTGTCGCGGATACGGCATCTCCAAGTGGTTCATGTACGGCGAATTCCTTCTTCCTATGCGGCTACCGTTAGCAAGTATCCGTAGTATCCGTAGCCAGGGCAAACGGCATCTCAAAACACTCCAAAGTGTTGTCGGGGAGACTCAAAGCACCAGACCTACTTACCGCGGTAGGTCCGTCTCGAAAGTTCGCAGCTACCATTCCATCACATGGATCGCCTGCAGTGTCTACACTCGAAATATCTCATGTAACTTCGCCAGGATCTCGAACGTTGCCGACCTTGCTTACATGGGCACAGCCTCATGTTCCGCACATATTACCCCGGTCACAGATCGAGTAAAGAGGGGCCGACAGCAGTGGAGTCGGCCGTGCGAACTTCGAATCGTGCAGAGGCTGATGGCTGAGGCACAGAAACCATCGTCTTTGACCGCGAAGATCTTCCAATGTTTCGGATATGAGGCGCAACCTCCCGTCGCAGCCTGATTTAGATGAGTTGCCTCACCACCGCATCACACCCACCTAGCGCAAGGTGCCGTAGCGAATGTTCGTGCCAGCGCAAAGGTAAGGATACCGCCGGTGAGCAGTTCTCTAGTCGCGATAACGCAGGTCAGCCTGTGTGAGGTGCAAACAAGCTGTTTTGAGGCGCGGCTGTGGTGAGCTGAGGGGCTCTCTGGTACCTGACTTCCGTCGTGTTAATGCATCCGTCTCTCTTTCTGCTAACGTGATTAGCAGACAACGTCTTCTTGTTGCTAAAGACCCGTAATTATGTGGTATAATGTGAAGGACTCTACGCAGGTGGATGACAGCAGTTTATGCTGGCTCTGTTACGCGACTGTAGGTACGAGAGTTTAGATCAATTCTCTTCATGTTAACCAAAACCCAAAGCCAGCCTCTGAGATCAAACATGTGCTAATTCCCTCCTTACCTCCCGCGTAAACCATCTACCTCACCTATTCAACCAATTCCCTATCCCCTAAGTCTCCAAATCACCTGACCCTCACAAGCCAGCCGCCCCGCCAAGTCCCTCCAGTGCCACACCAAGCCCCCAAGTTCCAACGGCGCAACCACCATAACCAACAAGTGCCAAACACCGATCTCGATCTGAACACGCGTTTCGCACCAACAACCCCAACAAACCAACGACTTTTCAGTGTTGACTCAGCCCCATCGGCCGTTGGTGCTCAAGCCACAGCTTCTACGAGTCAAACTACAAGTCCAGTTATATGACGTCATCGACTGGAAGAAGCGATCCGCGGAAGCTGCTTCCTCCGATTCCGAAGCAGGGAAGGAGCGAACATCACAGGGTACGCAACCAAGTTTGCGAAAGTCTAACGAGTCCAAAGTATGAAGACACGAGGCAGGGAAATTTGACAAGTTGATCTTGAGCGTCATGAGCAATAGCATTTGTGATTAGTTATCTGCGTGTTCGTATACGAGATCTACGGATTCGCGTCGTTCTGTGTGTGACTACAATCTCCGTCTCGTAATAGAGAACATCCTCATTTCAATGTGGATAGTTATGCATAGTGGAAAACACCCAAGTCCTTAACGCCGTTGTGCGGTATCCAACAGTTTCTTCCGGAGCATTGATACAGCTCTTCGGTGTTGGATCCCCCGTAATTCATAATTCATCCTCTACATGTATCACCGTGCCTCCGCGGGGACCTCAGCCGCTGGCTTTGGCATAGGCTTGAGCTCTGAGCCTGCCCCGCTCTCAGCCCGCTTCCGGCCTGTGAGGGAGAAGTGATGGCTCGAGCTAGGTCGCTCTTCCGTTTTGTCGGTGTTGTTGTTATCGCCGAAGCGCGAGAAGATGCTGCGCTTCTTTGGCTGCGGCTTCGGCTCGTCGTTCAGGCCCACCTCCTCAAACCCCTCTTCGGGTACTTGCTCGTGGCTTTCGCTGTGGCGGGGTTGTTGCATCGAGGAGCGCGGTGTGGCGCGCGAGCGGCGGACGTCGAGCGAACGTCTGGTGTCTACGGAGCGGCGCGCATCGAGTGACTGGCGGGGATACGTTTCATGGACGTTGTCTTGGATTGGAGAGCGCGCGGAAATGTCCTGGACTGATTAGCGGGGTCTTGCCACTGGTCGCATAACATACAAATGACCGTCTGTAGGAGTCGAAGCTCTCGCGCGAGATGCTAAACGGCTCATTCTCGGCGAGCAGACTGCGGTGATTTGAAGATGTGGTCGAGACGTTGGACTTGGAGTGCCAGAAGGTGGGCTTCTCTTGCTGAGGGCTCGGCTGTCGCAACGTCAATCAATGTCTCACGCGCCGACATGCGCGCGTGTCGCTGCCCCTCCTGCATCCGCAATCACATGGGCTTGACATTGCTTACCGGTAGGTACACGCCGCTGTCGTTTATTTCTATCACAGTGTAAGCGCCCATTCAGCCGATGCAGTGATGCCGCCCCAGGAACATGCTCGTGTTTGAGCCCCAGGCGCATTCGCAGGAAATCTCACCACTCAATTTGTACTCGACAGGGTCCTTGACCTGCACGGGTGCGGCGCCCGAAACAGCTGTGCTCTTGAAACCGTTCTCCGGCGCGCTCCGCTGGGCCTCATCGACGGCCTCAGGCACACCCGCGCGACGAAAGGGATTGCGGATAGGCATGGTGGTAGGGCGCTAGGGATCAAACAAGGCGGTACGAGAACAGAGTGGGGAGTTTCAGTAGGCTGGTGTAGATTGAAAAGGCGAAGAGGATGGTAGGTCGCGGCTGAGATCATGACTTCTGCGCGGCGCCAATCGGGCAGGAACCAATTGCCCTAATGTGGCATCGCCTCGGCACCTACCAAGTCCCGATTCAATGTCACCGTGTGAGAGGATAGCCGCGCCTTAAAACAGCTTATTTATACCTTATACAGGCTAGGTGTCTTGTTAGCTCGACAGATCAAGTTGGTGCGTGTTAAAGGTATCTAGTGCAGTAGGTCAGTGTTTGTTCTTGACTAAGAATCGTGAAGACGATGAACTTGGTCGGCGGGATACTCATTCAGTGTCTTGTCCCTGCTCGTTCTTCGCGTTCTTCGCGTTCTTCGCGTTCTTCGCGTTCTTCTCTTTGTACGCACGCTTCTGTGCTCTCCTGCGGCAGGTCCCGCACCAGTACTGCCCAGGTATGGGTAGAGCGGTAGAATCCTCCAGCGTTTGGTGCCAAGTAGCAGAACCTGTCTTGTCACATTCGGCGCATCTGCGTCCATCGATACCCGACTTGTGGTAGTCTGCTCTGGCTTTTCGTTCACATTTTGCGCAGATGTGGCCAGGTGAACCCAACAACTCGGGAAAGTACTTGCTGGTACGTGCGGGATGCCACTTGGATGTCACAGTGGTATCGCACAAAACACATCTGTGATCCCTTATAGCGGCAGGCGGTTGATCCTGTTTATTGCTGTCGTTGTCGATGAAGAATCTAGTGGAGCCTCTGGGCAGCTTAAGGACCACGATCAACTGACGTCGATATGTTCCAGCACGTCTGGGCAGCTTAAGGACCACGATCAACTGACGTCGATATGTTCCAGCAATGTCATCCGCAATCTGTTGAAGGCAATCTTCTCGGCTGCAACAAACAGCACTAGAGCTTATAATACCTCTAGTCCAATACCCTGGCGTATCTGGCGCACCACATTGCTCACATGCTTTCTCGTCCACAGAATCGACGGGGAATGAATTGCGTTTCGTATAGATCGTCATGTACATCGCATGGGAAAATGTCGTGTCGCTAGTGCCGTTTTGGATCTGTTGCTTCCCGTAAAATATCCGATCCAGCCACAAAATGAGGCGTGCGTAGCTGGGCTCCTGTGCGAGCTGCGTTGAGGCACCCCGTCGCTGTACGTCGGCTAGTTTCCGCACGTCCCAGTGTCCCCAGGCTGTGTCTCCGTATCTCGAGAAGAACACCTGTGGGTAGCGGGTCGAGATGAGACCTCGGACCGCTATTGTGAGAAAGAACTGGATATCCTTGAAACCAGTATGGTTGATGAGCGCGCGAAACGAATCCGTGTGCGTGGTTGACGCATCTAAGCCCACTTGTAGCAACAAAACTTTGGGGTTGTCACGTAGTTCGACAATGGAGCGGAGTATGCTTTGCATACGCGTTCTTTCGCGACGACTCGCGTTACCATCGCCTTCCAAGAGCGGTGCATTGCTAGAGCCAATGTGGAGATTCACATGCATGCGAAAGTTTCTTTCGCCAGCGATGTCGTTTTCTTCATCAACCAGCTCGTGCTCATCGTTGAACCGATTGAAGATCGAGTGCCAGGCGCTGTATATCTCGTTCGCTCGCAGGGTGTGCTTGTCAAGACCCTGCTCAATCGCGGACTTTGTAGGTGCACTTTGTCTTGTGAAAACCACCACAAGATCGTAGCCACGATCGATGTCGTCTGCATCAACTTTGACATGTTGAGGAGTGGCGAATATCCCCGCAGTGTCGGGATTGGGAGTAAAGCGTGTGTTCAGAGGGTTCCGACTGTAGTATGTGACATCTGCTTCCTTTCTTTTCGTGACTATAAGACTCGCATTGCTTATTTGTCTAAGGGGTTGAAATGTGTGAGCTTTACTTGCAGAGACATCCGAGTTTCGCGAAATGGCCTGCGATCGAACTTGATGGATTTCCGCAAGCTCATGCCCCGACAATTCGATTGATCCAAGAATGCTAATCACTCGGTCTCTGTGCGTAGCCTTCTTCAACAGATCCTGTAGAGCTATGTCGTCTCGGTCGTTCTTTAAAAACTTCTTTTGCAACGCCCTGCGGATAGCTTTGCTATCTAAGGCTCTAGGCTTCCCATCGGAATCGGAGTCGGAGTCGCTGGAACCGGCATCAGGACCGGCATCAGAAATCGCACCATCGCCGCGGTCTTCTCCAGGGACGTCTTCATCCGTATCGTCGCCAGAATCATCGCGCTTAGCATCCCAGATAGCATCGGCGAATGGATCGTACTGGTCGAAGGGAGCGTTCTCAACCAAAGCCCGGATTTCGCCTACATACTTCGTACGAAGATGTCGGCCGAAAGTCTTGCTCTTCTTGTGCACCTCGATTTTCTTCCCTGCCAGGATGCAACGGGCGCCGTAGATGGAGAAAGGACCGCAATCAGCTGCCTCTTGTCGAATCGTCGTTCCTCGCTGAATGTCTCTCGGCCACTCACCCTCAAATTCATGATGGAAGCGGCCCATAAGTTCCATGACGAGCGGAAGCATGTTCGCCTTATCCCAAGTAGAATCGTGGTGCGAGCAGGAGTCGTACAGGGTTATTGATCGCTCCTCGCCTGCTGCGCTGGCGACAAACATGACCCAGTGCGTGTTTGTAGGGTTCCAGATTCCGACCATGGTGTCGGTATTCTTCTTTAGACCAGGTCCAGATGGCGGCAAAGTATCCGACGCCAACGCCTCCTCCAGAATCTCCTTGGAGCCCTCCGCGCCTAGAAACTGTTGATAGAACTTGTTTCCGGGCGAGATAAAGTCCATGTTGCCGGATGGAGGCGGTGTCGTCCAAAATAAAGTATCGATGATTGAGTCGTTGATCCAGCCGCCCGAGCGTGACAGCACCTTGATGTGGTCCCAGTAAAGATCCAGCGGGAGGTGGCTGTTGTCGGCTTCGCCATCCCTCGACAGGAATACCTGATGATCTTGGTAGCGATGCTCATTATACTTCTCGATAACCCTAGGCAGAAGAGCGAACATATGAGCAGCCATCTGATCTCCTTCCTCCATTTTCTGCTCATATCGTTCAAGACTCGCTTGAAGTTTGTCGAGCGTCCGCGCGCGGATCTCCTGGGTTTTAACGTCCATGGTAGGCAGCTCCGGATCCGACTCCCCTCCCAAGTCGATGCGTCCATTTTCGCTCTCCAGGTTGCGAGCGGTCTTGGAACGCTTAGCATCCGCGGACGCGGCGGGACTAGTCCTCCTCTTGTTCATGTTATGGAAGCGAATCTCGATACTTCCTTTGATGCTAATAAGCTGCTCAGCTGCATCTGGGCCCGATGGCGTTTGTCCAAAGGAGACGCTTTGCCATTCGTCGCCGCTGGTGAAGCTACGGCCGCGGAGCTGGTTGTAAATATAGCTCGTGATAAGCTTGCGCTTCTGCTCAGCACTCTGAGTGGCGGCATCCGCGTTCGCAGTAGCTGACAGGCTCGTCTCGACGCTCCCTTCTGCTGGGGCAGCTGTATCCGTACTTGTAGATATCCCGTTGGACCTGGGAGACGGGAGTGCGTCCTGCTTCTTCGACGCCCGCATGTGTGCTGGAGGCAATGAGCCACTTCTAGGCACAGAAGAAGGGCGACGCGATGACGGACGCCTGCCCCTATCGTCCGAGCCATCTCGTCGTCGGTCGGAACGACCTGACCTGGTAGGTGATCTGCTGCGGTAGTTAGTGCGACGTGGTGGTGGTGGTGGTGGTGGTGGTGGTGAACGACTCCTATGAGACCTATTGCGCGAGCCGTCTCGTCGTCGATCAGATCGTCCAGCCCCTACAGGCGACCTGCCGCGGCCATCGGTGCGACGTGGTGGTGAATACCTACCCCTTGAGCGACTCCTGATGAACCTGTCGCGTGGGCTATCTCGTCGTCGATCAGATCGACCTGGCCCCATAGGCGACCTGCTGCGGTAGTAGGCCCGACGTGGTGGTGAATACCTACCCCTCGAATCATCTCTGCTGCGATAGCTATCGCGTCCAGGACCTCTGCTGCGGTCTGGCGAGCGCGATCTCCTTCCATACGAAGGCCTGCTTGCCGGTTGCTTGGCTCGAGGAGGAGACGGCTCATATCGTGACCGATCGCGATCTTGCTGCGAAACCGGATGATTCGCTGCATAGCGCCGCTCCTTCTCATTGACAGGAGCATATCCCTGTTCGAGTCGCTTTCGCTCATCCTTTCCAGGCCGGCTAGCCTTTTTTGGCGGCTTATTACCCTTTTTTAGCCAGTCGGCATTCTGGGAGTTGTCTTGATAAGACATGGAGGAAGAAGAAAGACTGTAATTAAGGTGACCTTAAAAACAGTAGCAACGACTAAACGACCTGTATAGTCACCAGAGGCAACTATGTCGGAGGAGTAGCGGTTGGTTTGACCAGTCTCACTTAAGAGCCACGGTCGGACCTTCGAATGCCTCAAACGTCTCTCGTTACAAGAGCTGAATGAGCACCAATGACAGGATCGGACTGCCAGAGGAAGATGAAGAAGAGAAAATGGCGAAAGGCCTCAGGCTATGTTGAGGTGGGGCGCGCGCGCGCATCGCGTCATGCTTCGAAGCGGAAAGAGCGACCATGAGGAAGGAGCGGACCTTGACCTCACCGGCTCGCATCGCCACGATCTACGAAGTGAGCTCAACAAAAAGGTTAGACCGCTCTTTTGTCTGCCATGTGAAGTCAGTCCGTGATGCTAAACAAGTGAAGTTTAGAGACTGTTCATGGCCGTGCCGTGCAGGTGGTTAGTAAAGCATACGAAGACGCTTCTTCCTCATGTGCCCCAATGTCACACGCAACGTTGGAGCGCACTGTCAAGAAGGCATTGCGTCTGCGCTTCAGTCTTGATTGATATGTTCACTATACTAACCGACTTGCCACTGGCTCCAGCCTTTCGACCTCCCATGTGCCTCTCCCTTCTCATCCAGTAGGTGCATGTCATCAACGTCCCCCTTCGATACGCACCCAGTCCCAGGCGTGAACTGTAACAGCGCTACTGTTAGTAACCATTCTTGTAGAAGGATGAGGTACGTACCGTCAAATCTCAGACCATAATAACGACGCAGAGCGAGACCGGCCATTCATGACTTCCGCGACATCAACGACCCAGTCCCAGGCGTGAACTGTGATAGCGTTGCTGTTAGTGATCATTCTTGTGGAAGGATGAGATACGTACCGTCAAATCTCAGACCACGATGACGACGCAGAGCGAAACCGGCCACTCGTGACTTCCGCGACATCAACGACCCAGGCGACAAGACACTCTCACAGATGAGAAGAATCGCACGTATGATATGCTGTCTCAGACCACTACAGCCTCGCTGCGAGGCACTTATGCTGGGCAAATCGGGGGTTTGTAGCGAGCTGGCACTCTTCTACAAGCAGGGCGGCGCAGTAGCTGGCGGTATGTATGGGCCACGGACGGCGGAATGTCGACTGGGATTGGAGAGAGCTTGAGCTGAATGCATCCTGATGCTGGACCTCGAAGTACGGTATAAAGTAGGAATGAGATGTGTGCTATTGGTCGTGCTTTTGCCTCTTCTTCGCCATAACCAGGACTTGCGTGGATGGCAAGAGTCGTAAGTGAATAGTTTTCGTCTCTATATCATCGCCGTAACAGTGAGTATAGCGGTTCGCTGTGGTGGTGTCAGTTTCAGTGTTCACGATAGGAATGTTATGACTTACGTTGTATCATGGTAGTCAACGGTGAGCCTGCAAAGCATCCGAGCGTACTGATAGGCACCACACTTCCGCTATTGCGAGGGAAAACGGCCAGTAATTGTGGCAGTTGGTCCGCTTCTGTCCCTGCTCGCAGCAGCAGACTGTCCAGGGTAGGGGAACTTGAAGAAGATTCCTGCAGGTACTGCACGGCCACAGTAGCCGAGCCGGATGTTGGGGTTTGAGGAAGCGGTGGTGATGAGTTCGTCCATAGTTGTGCAAGCAACGAAGACGCCACAGCGGCCATCTTATATTCGCGTCTTCTGACTTAGATCTGAATGCGATGCGATACTTTGGTTCTTCCTCTTCGTCCCACAGTACTGCGGTGACGCGACGCAGACGAGCGACTCACAACTTCCGAAATCTACAGGTACCCATCCAATCAGGTCCTTTCGAAAAAAGAGAAGTATCGTCAACACAAGAGCTTGGTCCGCTTCTTTGAACGCGTTCGTTCGGTCGAAATGCGGCGGCGGACGAGCGTATTGACAGGCACCCCACTTCCGCTCTTGCAGCCAGTCAGTTGATCGCGAGGGATAGCGGCCAGCGACTGTGGCAGTTGGTCTGCTTCTTTGAACGCGTTTGGTCGGTCTAGGAGGTTGGTTTTGCGGACATGCTTGACGATGTTCGAGGACGGGGATGCTCAGAGGGATGGCGGCCAGCAATTGTGGCAGTTGATCCGCTTCTTTGGACGCGTTTGGTCGGTCTAGGAGGTCGATTTTGCGGACATGCTTAACGATGTTCGAGGACGGGGATGCTCAAAGGGATAGCGGCCAGCAATTGTAGCAGCTGGTCCGCTTCTTTGAACGCGTTTGGTCGGTCCAGGAGGTTGGTTTTGCGGACATGCTTGACGATGTTCGAGGACGCGGTGGGTGTGGTGGAAGAGGTGGACTTGACTGGCATCTCACTCCCAAACTTCTCGTTTGTGTCGGCTGCTGCTGGTGAATCCATGGGAGAAGCTGGATGCCTGCCTCCATGACGTACAGCCAACAAAGAAGCCAGTAAAAGTACATTGCTTTCATACTCCTCAGACGTACGTTTTCGTAGCAGTGTAGACCCCAGCGCACCTGTTCATTTCCTTCCGTGTATGAGTTGTATAGACGCTCGAGGCGACGACGGCATTGTGTGGTGTCGGTAGGATTGAGAGGACCGCGTCGTTCGAAGGTTTCGTGGTTCGCTCGCTCGAGAAGTGGATGCGGTCGAGATAGCAGAATCTGTATCTTGTCAGTATTTGGAGTCACATCAAAGGCACACAAACTTACCGATCGCACAAAGCGTCGTTCAATGTCAACAGCCCCACACGTAGTGATACGTGCTCCATTCGAGATGGATCCCCTCTGTTGACGTCCCTTGTAACCAAAAGCCGATGCCGTGGTGGCACCTCTTCCTTGCCCACCCAACCACCCAAAACAGCCAGCCTAGCAGCACCAAGGTCTGCAGACTACACTAGGAAAAAACAAGCAAAAGGAGAAATCTGGCGCCAATGTAGGCTCCAAGGTGTTCGGTTTCCTCGTCGCATCTACGTTCCCCAGGTAGCGCTGCCCTGGCCAGACTCGTTTCCATGGCCGCCGTTGTCTCCCTCGTTGTCTCCGCCCTCTTTGTCTTTCCTCTTCGCGGCATGCTTTGCACCCTTGCCGCCACGTTTTTTCTTGGGCTTGGTGACCTTATTGTCGGGCAGCCCGGGAAAATTGACGTTCGGCGGCGCAGCGGTAGGCTTGGTGCGGCCGGTGGTTGTCGGCCGCGAGTCGACGTCGTGCAATCCAGACTCCACGGTGTTCTCTGGCATTTCCATGGCGTCGCGATCAAACGTGGACTTGCTGCGCAGCTTGATCTCGAAGCTATGAGCCTCTTCGGGACGCTTGCGCTCGCGGCACCAGTATTCTGACTCCTCTTGTGAGAGAATGAAAAGGCCATTTCTCATGTAGTCTACGTGCGCGAAGAAAGGCACATGCGTGTGGACCACCCGATGGTTGTCGATCATGGCTTGGACGAAGAGCTTGAAGTTTCCCACGATGTAGCGGGCGACTCGCTGTCGTGTGATAGACACGTTGAAGTTCTTGACGTCCGCAACGAATCCTATCGGGAGGCGATCATCAGATGCCAGTCGTGTGCTTCCAGCTGACACCGTCAAAGAGTAGAACGCAATGGGAGCCTCTTTGCCCTGAACCCAACTGGTTGTACCGAGTAGGGTTCGTACTCCGTCGAGCTCCTTTTGGTCCACCTTCTGTCCAGGTGAGTCCTCACGCAAAGCTTGACGGATAGCGGAGACTTGACCAATAAAGCTCGAGATAACGATGAAGTCGGTACCCACGATGGGCGCATAATAGACGCCACGGGCTGATTTTGGTGGCACGAAAGCCAACATGTCCTTGATCCTCCAAGCGATGAACTTGGCTTCGCCGACGTTGACCCTCGTGGTTCCGCCCGGCTGGACTACAGACTCGAAGTTGCAATCCAGTGCGATCTGCTCGTAGGTTCCGCGGAAGCCGGTTCGCACACATTGATTCCAGTAGGCCTCTAGGGTGTTGCGGAGTGGTTGGTTCCAGATACCTGCGAGTCTATGGGCTTCGAGTTCGTTACCGTAGCAAAAGCGATTAGACCAGTTCATCAGAGCTTCCGACATACGGTAACCTTCTTTGAGCATGAAGACACCAACGGGAGTTGTGTTGTCGGACCGCTTGTTGTGGACATCGGCGAGCTGCTCAAATACGTTGCGAGAGAGGAGCTTATAGCCGATATTGGAATCCTTGCCGACCACGGTACCCTCGCCCTGCCAATGGTCTCCAGATACGACGAGTTGACGAAAGCGATTGGTAAATGCACCCACGATGGTGGCAATACCAGCACGAGTCTCGCGAGCGGCCTCGTCGATGACAATCAGATCCCACACACCACTCTCGAGCAAAAGCGCGTGGGCCGATGTCGATATGGTGCAGAAGCAATACTGCACGTCTTTCAGGAAGCGAGCGGCCAGATGTGCTTCGAGGGCTTCGAGATGCTTCTTGGCCTCGTCTTTCTCCTCTTTCTCGCTGATGTACCGAAGCTTGTCGTTCGTATCGAACCAGTCGTTCGACCAAGTGTACAGCTGGTCGCCATTCAGAGTGTCGAAAGTAGCGTGTGCCTTCCAGACATTCATGCGTCGAAGCAGCTTGGATCCAAGACTGTGTACGGAATCGGGAGAGCGATCACGCGACTGCGCATCGTGAAGATGAGCCCAATACTCACGATTCTTCAGTACCAGCTGCAATTCGTCGTTGGTTTGCGCCTTCTTCTCACGGTGCTCCAATCGCTCCGCACCTGCGATGCTAGACTGCGAACCGGTGAAGACGACCCAAAGATGGTCAGCAAACTGCTCTGGGACTGGCCGGCTGTCGTTCTGACGAATAAAGCCCTCGACAAGTGAATCTCTCGCCGAGTTTGTAGGTGCGACACCCATGATACGGCGGCCTAGCTTGCCGTTGGCCCAGAGTATCTGCGTATCCATCATTGTCTTGCCGGTCCCTGGAGGTCCGATAATCGTCGTGACCCCATTCTCAGACGTTGTTGTGTCGAGAGCAGCAGCAGTTTGAACTTGATTTGGCGGAAATGTGAAATCGTTGGCGAGAATCCGGTTGAACTCAACAAGCTGCTCCGGGGTCGTCTTCTGCTTGAGAGCGTCGCTACCCGTGGCTGGCTCCTGGCAATTGAGAACGATCCGCCTAAAGTCTGGACCAGCGGCTTTTGTTGTCGCTCGCTGCCCGTCGGAGATGGCTCTGAGCTGCCTGTCAAAAGGAACGTTGTCGACAATGTACTCGATGTAAATCGGATAGGTAGACCCGTTGTCGGCGCATTTGAGCGGTCCTTTGTTAGAGGTCATGACGCAGACGAAAGTTGCGGTGCTCTTTCGCGATTCGTCCCAAACCACTGTGCCGGTCATCTTGACCAAGTTCTTGGATGGCGCGGCATGGTTGTCGCGGGCGATGCCCAGCGTGATTCGAGTGCCGGCAGCGGGGATCTTGACGTCGGCATCTGCAAGCATATCGGGCATACCCAAGTATACTCCGACGGAGTAGGTGTGCTCACCGCCGTCGTGTTGGAGGGCGAAGAATTTGCCCTGGAACCACTTGGTGCCGTCGCTCTGAACCAAAGCCCTGAGGTTGCGCTTCTGGGTATCCCGCTCTTGCTCGACGGCCATCTTCAAGAGGAACGCAGTCTCATTCGCGTCCGGGAATTCATCCGGGAACTCGAGCGGTTGCCACTTGTACGGGACCGGCATGGAATGTGTGACGCGGCCAGATGTCGTAGTCCTCGTTGTAGTCCACTCGGTCACCAACCATCGGGGTACAGCCCAGTTCACCTTTGGCAGATCGGGGAGTTCGATGTCGTTCCCGTGAAGTTCGGCCTGAATGCACTGGAGGCGGTAGAACCAAAAGTTTCCCCAGTATTTCGCAAGGCACAAGAGACTCCGAAAGTAGTCGTCGAGCTTCTGCGTCCACTTGGTAAGGTTCCCTTTGCCCGACTTAGATGTGAAGAGCATGCCGAATTGATCCGACTTGTCCAAGCATCGAACGAGAGACTCTAGAGTACCCGCCTCTTTGCCGATGCCTTTGGAACGAATTTCTGCCAGGCGAGAAGCGGTCAGTCCGTCCCAGACGCGATCCTTGACATTGTTCAGATGAATGTTGCATTGCACAACCGTAGTTTTGTCCAGAGTACGCATCTTCTCAACCAGGTCTTCTACCTTTGTATCCCTTGGCACCGCAGGCGCATCTGCCCCGGACGGGAGTTGTATAATCTCGAATCCGATCCAAGGAGCTTCTGTAGTCCAGATAAACTCCTGAGCCCAGATACGTGTCGACACCCAGCGGCTGGTTTTGGAGTCGTACGCCGATATCTCGATATGTGGCGTCTGTGTATCGAGGTGGAACTTGGCCTTGATGCATTCTTCCTTCGGTGGCTCAGGAGCCTCGACCTTCTTCGGTGGTGCTGCAAGCTTATTTCCCTTGCCCTTGCCTTTGCCCTTCGTAACCGGAGCTATAGGCTCGATGTCGTCGGCCAGGAGAGCGTCATCGAGCGACAGCTCAAAGTGGCTTCCCAGACAGCCGGAAATTTTGTCGCTGACGATAATCGTGCGATGGCGCCGTCCTCCTTTCAGAGCGTCGGGAAGGTATCGCGTGTTGATATCGCAACCACGCAATTGAAAGATGCCCTCTGTGCTGACGGGAAACGGATCATTGCTGCCGATGGCGATTTGAATGGTGGACGGGTAGTCCTCAGCGCGGTGCTCATGGATCTGCTTGTCCATCCACAGTGGGAGTTCATTGCGCTTGAAGGGCACCAACAGCTCCACAAGAGGAGGGTCTTCAGCCTCGCCCATTTCGACATTGCCGTCCTCGTCCTTTGGCTTGTCCTTTTCTTTGTCGGGTGAAGGGGGTGTCTCCTCTTCTGCCGTCTCCTCTTCTCCCATCTCATCGTTTTCTTCGCCTTTATCCGAGGCGGTCTTGTCGGATCCAGCAGTTCCCTCTTCCATTTCGACATCGTCCGGAATTTTCGTCGTCTGGTCCGGTGCTGGGGCGGGCTGTTGTTGCTGCTGCTCGACACCCTCCATGTTCAGACCCTCAACCGTCTCATCCTCATCCGAATAGAGTTTGTCATCAGGGTGCTGTGGCTCTTCGGGCTTTGGCTCTTCGGGCTTTCGCTCTTCGGGCCCTTTCTCGCGAGATGGTAGAGCGACCTTTGGCGGCGCTGTATCGAAGAGCCCGGATTCTTGCTCCGCTGATGAGGCGGTGTGGTTTGTCTCGTGAAAAGACATGGTAAAAAAGACTATAACTAAGGTGACCTTAGATATAGTAACAACGACTAAACGACCTGTATAGTCACCAGAGGCAACTATGTCGGAGGAGTAGAGGTTGGTGGGGAGGAGCCGAGTCTTCTCACTTAAGAGCTGACAAGGTAGCGAAGAGAACCTCGACGTCTCCGTGAGGAGCTGACGAGGGGAAGGGGAGGAGAGGTGTGCAGTTATACGCCTGCGCGCGGTCCCCCTGATCGCGGGGAGGACAACCTAATGGACCGCAAATTCCCTGCTATCGAGGGTCGGCTTGCACACTAGGTGTGCGTCGAAGTGGAATGTTTGCGGTGCAGAGCAAAAGAGCGGCGGCCGAAAAAATTGTATATATCGGACAGCGCTAGTGGCGCACGGGCAGCAAACAACCAGCGATGAGGAGTGAAAAGTCCCAAAGGCCGTAACAATCCGTCCCTTGTGGCGCCGACTTATCCTTCAACCCTACAGCTTCGTCTTCGCTTGTTGTCATGTCGCCGCCTGCCTCTTCCTTTAGCAGACCAGAAACACAAGGAGCTGCCGCCAACCTGTCCTTCAATCCCAGAGCTACGTCTTCGCTCGCTAACTTATCGCCGTCACGTCTTCTTTTCTAACAAGCTAAACAGGCACTTCCCTTAAGCTATCAGCTTCACCTCGGCCGCTCGTCCATACCATAGCCTCGCACCCCCTCTTCGCCCACCTGCCGTCCAGCTGCAGGACCATACATCAAGACGCTCTACGTCGGTTCAGAAGCAAGCAAACCATTTCCTTCCCAGGCCAGCTGCGACACCCTCTAACGGGACGAAACATAACTATGTACGGACGGTCGACTTATCGCCTTAGACTCTTCAGGTCTCAGTCATTCACGGCGGTGGACAACAAAAGGAAGGGGGAAGCCTAGGGGACGGGATCACAAGGCGAAGAGTGTCATATCCAAAGACACTATATGACGATAGATATATAGGTAGATCGCGGTAGATGGCATCGAAGGGCTGGATGGGGGTTTCATTATGGGCAGTGATAAAGGAGACTGAAGGAGTAGGGTTTGAAGAAGACAACGGAAGAGAAGGTCTGAATGGGGGATTCATCATGGGCAGTGACAAAGGAGATTGAAGGAGTAGGATTTGAAGAAGACAACGGAAGAGAAGGTCTGGGGATCATACCTAACAAACCTGTCATCGGTATAACGCGCCAGCGCTGAACTTCGTCGAGTTGGTTAATATTAACGTAGATGGTCTCAACCGTAGACTGCTCAATGCCTTCCATAGCGTCCTCCTCGTGTTGTTGAGATATGGATGAGAAGGAGACTGAAACGAGTCACAAGGACCGACGAAACGGTGCAACCATCTGAGTGTCGAAGTGGATATACACCACCTATGTCGAACGAGGTTGTCGCACGCTCTGTCGATGTGGATCTACACCACGTATGTCGAAAGAGGTTGTGGCACGCTCTGCCGAAGTGGAGGTCGTCGCACGCTCTGTCGATGTGGATCTACACCACGTATGTTGAAGGAGGTCGTCGCACGCTCTGTCGATGTGGATCTATACCACGTATGTCGAAGGAGGTTGTCGCACGCTCTGCCGAAGTGGATCTATACCACGTATGTTGAAGGAGGTTGTCGCACGCTCTGCTGAAGTGGAGGTCGTCGCACGCTCTGCTAAAGTGGAGGTCGTCGCACGCTCTGCTGAAGTGGAGGTCGTCGCACGCTCTGCTAAACTAGAGGTTGTCGCACGCTCTGCTAAACTAGAGGTCGTCGCACGCTCTGCTGAAGTGGAGGTCGTCGCACGCTCTGCTGAAGTGGAGGTTGTCGCACGCTCTGCTGAAGTGGATCTATACCACGTATGTCGAAGGAGGTCGTCGCCTGTTCTGCTACAGAGGTCGTCGCCCCACATCGCTTCGGACGAAAGCTTTGGCCATATGCTAGCCTATATTCGCCATTCCAGGGTTCACACGCGAACAGACAGCAAGGAACCCGACGATCTTCGTCTGCGCGACCTTCGAAGTAAAGTAGCCCGACCCTGGTGTATACGCTGGCCGCAGATTCGCTGCATCAGACTTCGCATTCGGAACGAAAGCCCGTGAAGCGATGACTATCGCCTTCACATTCGTTTCATAGTCTGCCCACCAGTCTTGCAGCGAGCTCTGGACTATCGAGGACGGCGAAGAGATATGTGTTGCGGCAAGAACGAGGACATCCCATGCGCTGACCTGTTTAGCAACATTCTGCATCGCAGTCTCGTCGGTTGCTGAAACAGGGAAGAACATGCAGTCTGATTTGCTGTCACCGAATAGCTTCTCGGTTTTTTGAAGGGTCGACCCAGTGCGTCCGATTAAGATCGGGCATGCTGCACCTGCTTTCGCAAAGGCAAGAGCGGTTGCGCGACCGATGCCGCTACCGGCTCCGGTTATGATGACTGTTCTTCCTATTTGGCTGAGATTGGGATTCGGTGGGTAGATGGCTGCGTAGGACTCGTTGTGCCAGGTTGCTGTAGGGGACGGGAATGGAGGCTGCATTGTTACTGGGAAGTGGACCGCACGCGATGTATTGAGGAAGGAGGCTGGTGTCGGAACTTTTGGGAGGCTTTGTGTGGGGAAGTCCGTAGAGCGTGTAGTTTGGGGGCGTAATTGTGATATTCTGAAAATATGCTCAACTGTTCAAGGCATGAATTCGTATAAGGTCAATGTGTTCTCGGATAAGCTGACTGTGGATGTACCGCATGTTGTCTGGTGCATAGCGTCAGTGGAGCGGGCAACGAGAGCTAGTACAGGATAGCCAAAGTACTGACATGAGGTGGGGTAGGGCTGAGCTGATATGTCCAATATTCTGCCCTGCGCCTTTGTATACCCGGAAATCCTTGGTGAGGGTTAACTGGTAGACGTAATTCGAGATTCTCCATTCAGTAAGTAAACCACACATCTCTACCCTAAAACGGCTATGATACAGACATGCGAATATTAATATATACACCCAAAGGTCACCGAAGCGATCCATCGCCCCTTCAAGGTCGAGCTTCGTTGACAGTTTGCCCTCCTCATGTGTGTGGAGTGTAGGGAAAGCCTGTGGAATCCGTCGCTGGCATCTGGCTTATGTCGCCATCACCCCCACCACCAAGATCCCACCAATCAGTCTGCCAATTCCGCGTGACAAAGTCATTCTCAAGCCCCCTCAAGAAGCCGAGAGATTGGAAGTCGCCATCCATATTCGCGGTGTAGTCCGGCATCGATGAAAAGGCCGACATGTCAATGTCTGGGAGTTCGCTGGCCATCAAGTTCTGGATCGTATCGAAACTTGTCGGCGGCATGTTCATCCCTTGAGCAACGCTGTCGCTGGAGTCCACAGTGGCTGGGCCTCTACGTCTCTCGTCTTGTAGACTCCGCGAGACCCTGTTCAGTGCATTGATCGTCTTGGCAAACGGTATCAAGTCCTGGCGCTCTGTGCAGCTTTGCGCCATGGCGACGCCAATTGTCTCGAGAGACTGTATGTCGCTTTCGCAATCGTCTGGATTGGTGCATGCCACAATGTGTTCGTAGAGTGTGAACACGACGCAGAAGGGGTAGAGCGTTATGAAACTGGGCCAAGTCAGCGGATGCTTGGCGCGAAGTAAAGATAGTGGCGGCTTACTGATTCGTGATACTCTTAAACTTGGCGTTGAGGTTAATATCCGCATAAAAGTCAAGGATAATGCTCAAAACTCTTCGTGCGGCTCTGAGGGTGATGTCCTTAGGTCCGGGTCTGGTTCGGTGCTGTTGTACCAGCCTCTGAATACCGATGATAGTCGCATATATGTTCACTGAATTTGAGGTCAGCTCAATCTTAGCCCATTGCCGCACTTTACCTACTGATGTGATCTGCAAGAAGACAGCGAACATCATCTGTAGTCTCTTTGCCGTTCATCACCTCCTCCAATCTCCATTCGCTGATGAGGTCTTCCATTTGCGAACAAGCTTCGTCAGCCTTTTGGACACAGCTGTTGCGATCGTGTGGCGGGTTTTCGTCAATGTAACCGATCGCCTCTACGGTCAACAGGGTATATCGCACCCACACGACACTGATGGTAACATGGAGCGCCGAAGGATGCATGTTGTCGGGACGAAAGAGTAGGGGCGGGCGGACCTTGTTTGGCGACCATCGCAGAACAGTGGGCTTCCCATAGAACAAACGGAAGAATGTGTCGATCGATACGACATACCAGTAGGTGTAGCGACCAACATCTCTCTCGGTTTCTTCTTCGAATGACTTTGCTGGGACCATATCTAGGCGATCTATGCCGATCGACTTGATGTGCTGGCACGATTTGCAGTGGAATTTCCATGCCAACTGGTAGTCGTGAGCAGTCATTGCCGTCCATGCTGAGAGGGCTGCAATATGTACATCCATATTCGTGTCACCTGGAGACTCAAGCCAAGCGGGTACGCTCTCCAGCATCTTCATGTATGCCTTCGTCGTAAGATCTCCTCCCGGGCCGTCAGTCAGCTGCAGTCCATAGAACAGAGCGTTGTAGCTTGAAGTCACCTAAAGTCAGCATGTGGCACAAAGCCGCACTAAGTATCGGTTACTTACTACATAACGCGGACCACGGGATCGATGTTGACGTAAGGAGACTTGATGATATCGGGAAGCGCGTAGAGGAGGTCAGTATCGATCACGGAACGAGAAAATGCATCTGGCGCAAGCATTGAGCTCATGACAGAGATAAAGCCGTCAATACACGTCCGCGCTTCTGCGGAGGATAGGTTCAGATCCGCGCTGTGCGTATCAGTGCGCACCCTCAACTTTCCAAGGTCTTCGAGCGCTTCGTTGAGAGACAGCATTGCGTTGTCGATGCTTGGTGTTGGTGTCGAGACTGGGGTAGCCTTGTGTTGGAAGCTGCGTCTTGTGTCCGTTGCAAGTCGGTAGATCTATCATGATTAGCTGTGATGATAGTTGAGAAGATTTTCGAAGGCGCTCGTGTGTGCTGAGTCGTGTGCTGATGGCTCCTCATATGAAGGGATGCGTTTTTGAAGCTGTATCGCCGACCCCAACCCTTTGCCGCTATATGTACCTCATGTGCTTCGTAACACAGTAGAAGATAAGACATCGTAAGTCCGCATGGGATGTTCTGACAGGACGTTGACCATGTGAAATGCTATGGATACCTTCGAGGAGGTCGAGATATCAAGACAAAACGCAGCAAACACGAGCGCCTCCGGTTGTGGCTGTTATTACCCATGAATCCTGGCCATCAGCCACAGTTAATGAGGCCTCGGGTGAAGGCACCGGAGTGCTCTTTCGGATACTATCGCGTCTGGGCACGACTTCGGATACGGATGACGACCGATCATCACCAGCGTCGCTAATTTGTTTCTCCAGTTGTTCTAGTCGCTGACTGAGATGCTGTACGACAGCCTTTTGGTGGGCATGGCGCGGCCGTTGTCTTCGCTCTACATAATGGCATTCTTCCTTGGCGGCAATACATTGATGGCATATCGGCTCTGCTTTGTCGCATTTAATCTTCTTTCGTTTACAACGAAGACACTTCAATGGCAGCTTAGCAGATGGACTGGTTCTGCGGACGTAGGTTTAGGGCAGGTACCTACGGCAAGCTTCATCGTCATCTTAAAAGCGTTCGCTAAAAGCACACCGAATTTCCGGAAAAATGGTTGCGCGCGACAGCGGAATTTTCGGCGGGCGGAGTCCCGGGGTCTCGCGCATAGAAAATAGATAATGTGATCGATCCTTCGTAGAGGGTGGAGATGGAGGCTTGGTGCAGCACGGAGCCCGAGGGCTTCCACGGACTTTCGGGCTTTGCCGAATGTCCGCACCCTGCACGTTTCAGGAACCAACAGCAGCCCTGGACGCGAACGCTCACTTCGATTCATTCGCGCCAAGATTGCCGAAGACAACTGTCTGCAATCATGGCACCTGGGCATGGACTTCCGGGACTTTCGAGGCAGGAACTTACATCATCCACAGTCGTAAAGGCATGGATTGCAAAAAAGCATCGTATGATATAAGGTAAATCTACCAGGGCTACGGGCTCTGTCAAACATCGCCATCTCAGATCTCCCCCTGCTCACACTTAGCGAGCGCTAATCGATCTGTTCACGCGCTCCCAACCGTACGTATCCTCGTGCATACACCCCAGTTGAGAACATTGACTAATGTTGTTCGTGACCACTAGGAACCAGGCATACCTGGATTGACGCATTCACCTGGTCGCAGTTTCCCCGAAGTTGGACCTGCCTTTCTGACCAGCATGTCAGCCGCATTAGGCTTCACAGAGGCGCAAGCGACAAACGAAGAAGCACGTGTTGACCGCGTAGATCTGAAGTCGGACGCTAGCTCCAGTCTCACAGGAGTTGACGACGAGACCAAAGTTCGACAGGAAGCACAGCGTGATCGAGACATCCACGAGCTCGTGCGCAAGTTTACAACACAGTCTGAACAGCAACATTTTGGCTCACCCTTCGCCGAAGATGCACATGGAGGACTTGATCCTAGAAGTGACCAATTCCGTGCCAAGGATTGGGCGCGCTCCTTCTATAACCTGCGTTATAGTAGCGAGGAAACCATTCCTCGCGTAGCGGGCGTTGCTTTCAGAGGCCTGAACGTGTGGGGCAAAGGTTCACCAACCGACTTCCAGTCGACAGTAGGGAACACAATATTGAAGCTTCCTTCGCTGTTTGGCAGAGGCACGCAGAAGATCGAGATCTTGCGAGACCTGGACGGATTGCTCCTTCCTGGAGAGCAATTATGTGTCTTGGGACCACCTGGGTACGTTTCACTGTTGTTGTATTCAGCAACATGGACTAACGACTAGTAGATCAGGGTGTTCTACCCTTTTGAAGACCATCGCAGGCGAGACTCATGGCTTCCAAGTCAGCCCTGACTCGTATCTCAACTACCAAGGAGTACCAGCAAAGGACATGAACACCGTGTTCCGTGGGGAAGCTATCTATACCGCTGAGGTTGACGCGCATTTCCCCCAGCTGAGCGTTGGTGACACGCTTTACTTCGCGGCTCTGGCTCGAGCACCTCGTACCATTCCTGGTGGCATCACTCGTCGGCGCTATGCCGAGCATCTTCGAGATGTACGTACTCTAGTTGGGACTCAACCGGTACGATTACTGACTCTTGACAGGTCATAATGGCCATGTACGGCATCTCGCACACGGCCAACACACGCGTTGGCAACGACTTCGTACGAGGAGTCAGCGGCGGCGAGCGCAAGAGAGTGACGATCGCGGAAGCATCTCTCAGTTTTGCCCCGCTTCAACTATGGGACAACTCGACTCGTGGACTTGACTCTGCTAATGCCGTGGAGTTTTGCAAGACACTCCGAACCCAGTGCGACGTCTTTGGGGCAGCATGTGTCATCGCCATTTACCAAGCTCCACAAGCCGCGTATGAGGTAAGCTATAGCATGATTACATGGAAAAATAGCAATGCTGATTCCCCACAGGTTTTCGACAAAGTGACCGTACTTTACGAAGGCCGACAGATCTACTTCGGACCAGCGAACGAAGCACGCGCATATTTCGAACGCCTTGGCTTCGAATGCCCTGCCTCCCAGACTACGCCCGACTTCCTTACATCAATGACGTCAGCCTCTGAGCGCCGTATCAGGCCAGGCTTCGAAGGCAAAACACCGCGTACCTCCGACGACTTTGCTCGATGCTGGAAAGATAGCCCCGACCGTCAACGGCTATTGCAAGCGATAGAGGAATACAACAACACGTATCCCCTCAAAGGCGAGCAACACGAACGCTTTGCGCTTTCGAGAACCCTGGAGAAATCGAAGAAGCAACGGCAGAAGTCACCCTATACCCTTTCGTACTGGCGACAGATTCGTCTTTGCATGTGGAGAGATGTGCAGAGGCTGAAGAACGATCCGAGTGTACCTTTGACGATGCTTGTCGTCAACTTCTTCGAGGCGCTCATCATAGCGAGTATCTTCTACAACCTACCCCAGTCCACGGCCTCGTTCTTCAAGCGCGGTGGAGTCTTGTTCATGGTGGTGCTGCTCAATGCCTTCGGGTCGATGCTCGAAATCATGAACCTCTACTCCAAACGCACTATCGTCGAGAAGCACAACCGATATGCCCTTTATCATCCATCGGCAGAGGCCCTGTCTTCCATGATCGTGGATCTACCATACAAGATCACCAACAGTCTCGTGGTGAATACAACGCTCTACTTCATGTCCAACCTACGCCGAGAACCCGGTCCGTACTTCTACTTCTTGCTCGTTGGATTCACCACCGGCCTTTCGATGAGCATGTTCTTCCGCCTGTTCGCCTCAATGACAAAGACTCTTTCACAAGCACTTGCCCCGAGCTCTCTCATCCTGATAATGCTCGTGCTATATACTGGATTCGCTATCCCAATCCAGTATATGAAGGGGTGGGCGGGTTGGTTCCGATGGATCAATCCGGTTGCATATGGCTTCGAAAACGTCATGGTCAACGAGTTCCATGGCCGCACATTCGCTTGTTCATCTTTCGTACCCACTGGTCCATCGTATGAGAACGTCGCCCCCGAACAGCGAGCATGCGCCGTGCAAGGTTCTCAACCAGGCCTCGATTACGTCAACGGCACTGCATACGTCGAGACTGCCTTTCAGTATCAGTATAGCGAGCGATGGTCCAACTACGGCATCATCATTGCTATCACTGTCATTCTCTTCCTCGCACATCTCGTTATGAGCGAGTTGGTTGCTTCCGAACGGTCCAAGGGCGAGGTGCTTGTGTTTCGTCGATCCAAGATGAAGAGCACGGCCAAGAAGCAGAGTTTCGATGAAGAGAATGGCGGAGCGACCGTTCACGAGGGCGAGAAGATCAGTCGTAACAGTGAGCCTGAACCTGGAATGCATAAGCAGGTGTCCATCTTTCATTGGGAGAAGGTCACCTACGAAGTCCAGATCAAGGGAGAAACTCGCAAGATCTTAGATGGTGTGGATGGATATATCAGGCCCGGTACACTGACAGCTCTCATGGTATGATGTTCGATACACTCAATTAATATCCAAGCTAACAGGTCTCAGGGCGTGTCAGGCGCAGGCAAAACCACATTGCTCGACGTGCTCGCAAGCCGAACAACCATGGGTGTCATTGGCGGCAACATGCTTGTCGATGGCCGTCAACGAGACGACAGCTTCCAACGACAGACTGGCTACTGCATGCAACAAGACATCCACTTGGACACATCCACTGTGCGAGAGGCGCTGGAGTTCTCGGCATTGCTGCGTCAGCCGCCTGAGTACGGACGCGAAGAGCGGCTGGCCTATGTCGACCACGTGATTCGCCTTTTGGACATGGAACAGTACGCCGATGCCGTGGTCGGAATCCCAGGATCCGGACTCAATGTTGAGCGTGAGCACTTCAATACTGCAACTTTGCTTCTACGAGCTTCGCTAATTTCCTACAGAACGTAAGCGCCTCACAATCGGCGTTGAGCTCGCCGCTCGCCCAAAACTCCTGCTCTTCCTCGATGAGCCTACATCCGGTCTCGACAGTCAGACTTCATGGTCCATCTGCGATTTGATGGAGAAGCTGACCCGTGATGGGCAAGCAATCCTGTGCACCGT